AAGCAAATAGCCTATTTAAATAAAAGATAGGGCCTTAGTTCTACTTTTTAACACAGGTATGGATAGTATTTAATCCGTGCATACACCTCGAATTAGTTGTCCAGCGGTATGGCCTAATAGATTAAATGGTTTTGTTGAATATAAGAACCTAATCTAAACAAATTGTTTTGACTTAGTAGTTGATTAAATTATTACTGTTTATTATTAAGCAGTTCGATGTTTTAATAAAAAATAATTAATTGATAATTAATATTTGAGAGGTCTAGCTGCCCAAGGCCTAGATGATTACGAACGTGACGAAGAAAATAATTTTTTTGTTGACTAAATAATACTCTACAATTAATGGAAGAACTTTAAGAATAAGGGTATTTCTTTGACCTTAAACATGTAGCTAATATATTTATTTATTTATTTATTTATTTATTTATTTATTTATTTATTTATTTATTTATTTATTTATTTATTTATTTATTTATTTATTTATTTATTTATTTATTTATTTATTTATTTATTTATTTATTTATATTTTAAAGATATTGTGTTGAGTATAATAAACTTTAATAATCAGTTTATTCATACCCTTAGCTTTTCACTAAAAATAAAAAAGAAATATACTGAAGGTCTTCCACACTATCAAATTTTCTTTGATAAAAAAACTGGTCGTGATCATGGTCTTGATGTGATGTCATCATGACCATATTTAGACATGTTACCCTTTTTTGTCAAATAAAATTTGGTAATCCGGATAGGCCTTTAGGCCTACTTTTTGACAGAGGTATTGATAGCAGTTAATCTGTGCATAAGCTCTGATTTGGCCTAATAGATTAATAGGCCAGTTGAGAGTTTACAGAAATGCCATCAATACTTAATAGATTAAATATTTTTGTTTAATATAATCAATAATCAAGAACCGACCTAAGCTGAAAAAATTGTTTTGACTTTGAAGTTGATTAACTTATTGATTTTTGTTATTAAGCAATTCCATGTTTTAATTATTAAAAAAAATCGTAATGTAATGGATAAAGTCCAGAATAGAACTACAAAAGTGCCTATAGTGATTACTCCAATGGTATAAAATGGAGAGCGAAAAAGAGAGTGAGATTTTACTCTATTCAATTAAACGATCCGGGTGAAGTGAAAAAAATCGGATTAAAATCCAACTGTGCTTTTTGGATTTTGTTAATAACTGCCGTTCATTCATTCGAAAATTAGAAACGTCTTTATCGGTTGTTGAACGGGAGGCCAATGATTGACAGCGTGTGTGTAGTTATGAAGGGGTAACCTTGGCAATGCGTACCCTACTTCTAATGACCCTCGCATCACGGAGAAATATCAATATTGTTGTGAGAGTACTCAATTTAATATCCCTAGCTCTGACCATGGATTCATTGAAAATCTATCCAAGTATAATATGTTACATATTGTAATTGCTTATTTAATTTTGCTATTAAGGACTGTATAATATGAATGAGCGTCTTATCAATTGATGTCCGTGATCGGTCGTACGTACGAGTTTTACGTGCAAAATGAGTTGAGTTGGTCTCTGCAAGGATGTGATGAATTTGCTTGTAGTAAAGTCGGAACTCTTCAGATAAAAAAAAAGGGGGAAGGTGTGTGGGGTGGATAAATCCTTCGTGAATTTAAGCCCGGAAGGAGTTCAACTGTTTCTCAGTTTCCATAATGTAACGTATGCCCAGCAAACACAAAAAGTCACTTTTTGTAATTAGGTTATGTGTGAAATTAAGTCAACGCAACATTAACAACATTTACAATGTTATTTTAATCAGAAATTACGTTGCATAGGCGTATTTTATACACAAACAAAGAATATATTTTTTAATGATATGATCCCATTTATGCGGCGTTGGACATCACCGGGGATGCAGAAATACCTAAAAAAAATAAAATGAGTAATACTGTAGGCTTAGATTACTTGAGTCACTAGATAGTTCTAAATTGGAAGGGCATCGGCTGTACTTTGCCGTTTTATCATATTTTTCTCAACATTTGACGCGAAATATTCCCAAAACAGGAGCAGTGAAGCTGGATTTCCACACGACGAATTTATTCGCGCGAATCAAAGCGTCGGTTCGCTTCCTGAGCTCTGATTGGTTGCGCATTTTTTCGCTTCACAAAAACTCCGATAGGGATGTGAATGCGCATGCGCATGAACTGACGCTTTCGATTCGCGCGAATAATTTCGCCTAGGGGAAAACCGGCTTAATGCATACTGCGAAGCTAGAGAACAAATAGGAGAAAAGATGGTCTTGTTTTGTTGATTCACTCGTACCCTTGGCATCCTACCAAATAGCTAAACGATTTCCGCTATGTTGACAGAAATAGGACTAGATAGCAAATACAAATACTGAGGCCTACATCACCGTATCGAGGGTTATGGGACAAATCTGACCTGAACTTAAGACTGCTAGCCGCATTTATACGTAAAGTACCTTAGTGATAAAAGTATGGCTTACTGGAGGCTTATGTTAACTAACACATTCAAATCACATTCATTTTTTCCATTCATTCAAAACTACTTTAATTACCAAATGATAGGCACACAGAATAATATAGTGGATCGATTTGAATTTTTGACAATTTCTATCATTATTAAATTTCTAATTTTTGCAACTTTTGCAAACTTTTCCAATACTTTCATTTGTCGTGAGTAGGCCTACCTACTGTTTGAATGTTAGATTCGGTTTTATGTTGAAAAAGCTTTATATGGGCATAATTGACTAATTTGAAAAACCAATGAAATTATTTGATAATAATAGGCAAATAATAATACAAATTTGAGGACTATCACATTAAGTGTTAGGCGCACATTGATGCGGGTCATCAGCCAACAGATTTCCATCACGTGACGACGCGTCCACACGCGATTGATTGGACTAAATGTCGCCTCTGCAAGCTCTCGCACACAGCGCGCACGAATTTACCGTCCTACCGATTTAGTCCAATTTTTATTTTAATGTCTATTATTGTAATATGTATTCGTTTTATTCATAAAGGACTAATAAACAAACACAGTAATGGTACCTTTTTCCTTATTGTTTTAGTGATACGTGGCAAATTGCAACAGAAACCGTTGAAAGAGAATAAGGAACGATCAACCAATCTACCATCTACACGTAATGTGTTTTAGTTAGATATATCAGGGAACAGTGATCTTATTTAACTGTTCCCTGGTGAGACAGTATATATAGGCCTATAGCCTATAATGAAGTGTATACACTGCAACTCAGCTAATGGAGGATAATCCACAGCACAGGTAGGCCTACAGAGAGATGAAGGCCTACAGGCGCGAAATTGACTATGACATTAATTCGTGCGGTATCCACTCGTCGTCATATTCAATCAAATTGATTGTAAAATAAGTCATCGGTCCTGACATTCTCGTGTGGCGCACAAGTCAATGCACCTCAGTATTCACTTCATCGTCGTTGTGATATTAGTGAGCCGTGCATTATTATAATACCCTGGATGTTGTTGCGACAGTAATTTTCATAAATCAAATTAACCCACGGTGTGGCCTACGCTGAGATACTGGGTTCACGGTCCGCGGGAAATAGTATCGGTAATAACACCCCCCGGCTGGAGTCCACAGATGTAAAAGCTGGAGTAGCTACAGGTCTCAATTGACGATACTGAAAAAACGAAGAATGAGCCCTAAACGATCAATGCTCGCGCGTATTCATTTCATTCGCAACGGTATCATTTTAATGATACTTCGATTACGTTCATATTTAACACAACCGAGTTAAATTGGTTCGATAATTAAATAGATCAAGGAGGTACTATAAAAGAGGTCTCGAATCCAAATTATATTTTAATAAGATAGGACTACCACATACACACATCTTATAAACTGGAAGTAAAGCCGGCTCACTATGTCGGACGACGGTCTACGAATCCAACTCCGCTCCCTTTGAGCGCTTGACGACGCGACGCATCTGCTGATTTTCTGTGGCTGTCTGAACGGATCGTCATTAAAAACGGCGTCGCGTTCTCCATAGAATCGCGTCGGCCGATGACCGCCGGGCGCAGTGAGTTCGATTAAAGTCGAATTGCTTACATTACTGTGAATTTCAATAGTGCATAAAAGTTTATTAGTTATTTCAGGGAACTATTCCCTGGTTATTGGCTATACAATGTATTTATTTGTCAACGTGTACAACCTGGTTCACATAAAATTTGGTTTCCAGATTATTCAACAGATAATACAGTGAAAGTAAAATCTTTAAGTACAACACATAAAAAGATGCAAAAGACAAGTATCCGGACATATTGCAATAGAAACAACGGAACTTAAACTACTGTACTAAAAAGCTAACTAAAACTACAAACATATTTAAAAGACACAAAAGGCAAGGCATATTTTAGGATAAATATATAAAAAAAACAAAAGACAGGCCTATTATATTGCAATTCAGAGGTTGAAGTGTAGTGTATTTCGTATATTTCCAGCATAAAATTAATAAATAAGGATTTTCGTAGTAAAAAGTCTGTAAATCATTACAACTTTTTATGATTTATTTGACTTATTAAAAGTTGATATTTTATGTGGTCATTTCAAAGAATCACATAATTAGTTGGTGGCGTGTCTGCCGAATAAAACAGTTATACTGTATTTCTTTCTAGAATATTGACGCATCGTTAAAATTGTCATGCGCAGTAGCGATTTTAATGCTTAATTTCTACGGTCATGTAGGTATATAGATTTTATGTATTGGTTGCAGTGATAGCGTGTGAGTTGACAATGCTGATGTACAATAGTAGGTTTATTTAGAATAACACACCAGCTTTTTGTAGTGTTGTTTTAAAGATTATTGTCGTGAAGGTGGTTACAACAATTACTCGACCCTAGACTCCTCAATACAAAGTAATGAAATTAGCTCTTCCAATGTCGGTAAATGATTGGCTGATAGATAACGGGAAATAACCAATCACAGCACAGTGTTATGTAGACCGATTAGAATGTTCACTAAGAATATTACTTCAACATTTTGAGTCGGTCACGCGATAGATAGGTTGGATATTATACTATGACTGTGAACAAGCACTTTACGGTATAATTTTTTTAATCGCATATTATCTTCATCACGTGACGCTGAAAGATGTATAAATTGGCAACTGTTTTGCAGACAAGCATCATTTCTCTTTCTTTATTGAGGAAGTGTAATTGAAATCAGCATCTTGAGTACTTAACCGAAGTTAAGAAACTATAGACTTACTTTGTCGTCAAAATGATTGTAGGCGAAACACTTGGCGTGAACTTAACGGCTTTCCTTCTCTTCATCTGCATTATGTTGGTTCTGATGATTGTGAAAGGAATTGGTAAGCGAAAGAGCACGTTTCCAAAAGACGGGAACTTGAAACCAGTGCCTGGTCCACCTGGTCTACTATTAGTTGGTAACATTTTTGATATAGATAGTAATGCTCAGCAGAAAAGCATGCAGAGGTTGGCTGAAAAGTATGGAAACATATTTCAAATTCGTATTTTCAGGACGCCGGTTGTTGTTTTAAATGGATACGATGCCATATCCCAAGCGTTGAAACATCAGGCCATTGACTTTGCTGGACGACCCCACTTCCACACGTTTAAAGTGATGCACGAGTTGAAAAGTGGTTTTCTTGCTTTTGCCGACTACGATGAAACGTGGAAGGCAGGGCGCAAGATTGCTGAGACAGCCCTCAAGACATTCGTCTCTGGCCGAAACGTCGAAAGTCTTGATCAACGCATTGGTGACGAGGTGAGGGATCTGATAGCTGTACTAACAGATAATAATAACACCGAGGGCAGAGTTTTGGAACCCTCCACTATGATAAAGCTCTCGGTCTGCAACATCATGTTCTCATATATGTTCGGAAGCCGACGCTCATACAGCGATTCAAAATTGCACGACTTCCTTGCGATGTCGCACAGATTTACGAACGCTACGGGCACTGGGAATATAATAGATTTTCTGCCGTGGCTTCGCTTTCTGCCAAGCAAAACTATGAGTGATTTTAAAGGAATTATATTAGAGCTTAGGGATATTTTGTCAGATGATATCAAACGACACAAAGAAAACCACGTTCAAGGTGTTTCAAACAACATTTGTGATCAGTTGCTAAACGTGTCAAGATCAATGAATCAATCCGAACTTAGAAAATGTAATATTGACGAGGAGCGAGTTATGAGTTCAGTGTATGACATGGTTGGTGCTGCATTCGACACAATATCCATGTCTTTAACCTGGTCATTGGTGTTGATGGTGAACTACCCTGACGTGCAGGCAGCCGTGCACGACGAGTTGTTAAGGGTCGTCGGTCACAAAACACCCACACTTAAGGACAAACCTAGCCTACCGTTTACTGAAGCTTGCATACTGGAAACTTTACGATTTATCACCGTGGTTCCATTCTCCATCCCTCACAGTACAACAAGGGACACAACACTAAATGGATATTTCATTCCTAAGGGTACGACTGTCTTTGTGAACCTACATTCAGTACACCACGACAAAACACGCTGGGTAAACCCGGAATCATTTAACCCGGCACGTTTTTTATCTAAAGACGGGTCTCTTGATCGTCAGAAAGTTGATCAAATCATGCCTTTTTCTGCAGGAAGAAGGCGATGCCTCGGATCAGATCTTGCTAAAACTGAGCTCTTTCTTTTCTTCTCAAACTTGCTCCATCAATGTCATTTCGAGAGCGCGACAGCAGAAAAAATTCCAATGGAGCCGATCCATGGTCTGACCGTGAGACCGAAACCTTTCAAGCTTAAAATACGCCCCAGATTTCCAGGCAACTGAAATCTGCCTGTGTGTAGTAAATAATTTTATACAGTACGAACATATTTCTGCAGGTAAATATATTGGGCATACCGTTCCGTCTTTTACAATTCCTAAATTATGAATTTGATTATCCTCTGTATTGCTAAAGATCGTTTGTCATCAATAGCCCTAAGGCCCACATCACACCATCTTAAATAGGCCTATTTTTATTTCTTATATGTTAGGAAATTTGATTTTAATAATCAATTCAGTTTTCAAATTTATAGGCCTATTTAAAAAACGAACTTAGCCTGGTCATATTTGAACTGAGTTGATACATTCATAGGTAATCCAGTAAAAGACCTCAATTTATAGATCAGTATATAGGTCCCATGCGTTTTGTCATTCCCAATCTATGACAAGCAAATAATTTTAATAATATCAATAAAAACTTGTAAAATTTATTAATTAATATTTTTATTCATTTGTATGGAAAGAAATTCCATCAGTTTTGTTTATCAATAAATATTTATAGTATAATTAAGCGGTAAATACGCGAGCAAACAATTTAAAAACATTTAAATTGTATTTCGAATACTTATTGGGGACTGTCTGCGTTAGCATTGCGCGCGCATACCGGTACTCATCGCCTTGAGAGCTGCCTCTTGGTGATTAGAGCGTTTGTGTTATGATCAGACGTGCTAATTGATGACGTTGATGAAGATATAGAACGTGAGGTTATACAGATTGTGTTGTGTTCTGTTTGGCAATCAGGTGGCTTCAAGCCTCGTCCAGACATTTTAATTGACGATGTTAAATAAGATTTAATAGTTTGTGAGCTGTTTGGCAAACGCTTAAAATCTCGACCAGACATTCTAATTGATGATGATAATTAGGATGTAGATGTAGTACTTGAAACTTATCCTTTTTCAGTCTGTTTACTTTTCTAAATATTAGAAATGAATGAAAACTCATTTCAGGTCTATGATTGTATTCGAAAATTTATTGTTGATTTTTCATTTTTTATATTTCGATGTTTTTTATTTATCTCTTTTTAAATCAATTTTTTATTTGGTCAAATGCAGAACCATTTGAAAAATTAATTCTTAAATTATCCTGTATAAAGATGTTTTAAATAACAAAAAAATTAAAAGTGATAGTACTAATCAGCATGTTTTATGTACCGTATTACTATTTAATAATAGTATGAAACAATATGACTTTAAACACTACAATAATAATTGTATATTATACCAAATTTTATTGGATTAAGCAATATTTGCAAATTCAGATTTACAAAAATTACAAAAGATTGTGTGATAATCTGTTTAATTTTCTTAAAAAGAAACGTTTTTTTATATTGTTTATTTTATTACGATCGGCCTTCTTGATCCTATCTGAGCCTACTTTCATGGCTATGGTGTTAATCGATGCAGTTCTTACAGTATAACCGATCCGATACCCACTCCGGATCCCCGTTTGTAGGTTCGTTCACTGCTTTCTACGAAACACAACAATTATATTGATTCGTATTGATTGATCGTTGTAATAATTGTTTATATTTTATTACACCTCTTCTGAATTAAGAAGAGATTTGTTTAACGGCGATTACCGAGATTATGCATTTGGGGTTCGGAAATCCCAATTAAACCTTAAAGCCGATTGCTGACAATGCCACCATTCGACTTGTTATGACGTTCTAATATGTTTAAGACTTCACTAAAGTTTTCAGTAATGTACCGTGGCTTAATGACTTCGAAATGAATTAAAATCAATTGAAAGTTCCCACAGCTAACCTCTTAATTGGTATTGTTAATTATGATGTCTGGTCTATACAAGCGCTCTGAAGAAAGTTTATAGACAACAGCGCACAAGTCGACATACAGCTGGCGCTGTGCATAATCAGTTATTATCACTCGTACCATGGAGGTATATACCTCCATGCTCGTACTAAGACTGAACATGTTACCCAGTTGGTATCCTAATGCATATACCCAGCACAGCTGCCTAGCACAGTTGTACTTATGTTATTAGAGGAACTACGTGCGGAGGTCAAACATTTTGATATCTCACACAATTGGATTCTGTTCAAACTATTTATCCCCAATGTAGGGTGAAGTGTCCAGGGTTTGAATGTGGTACCGTAAAACATGTAACCTTTTGGGCGAATCTACACTCACCACATATGCATTGTAACAAGTTATATTTTCTTGGGCAGCATTGCAAAAATGAATCATTATGTTTAGTATGTTAACTAAAATCATCGAAAGTGTATACATACTGTACACACATATATATATATATATATATATATATATATATATACCGTACTGTGTATATATATATATATATATTGTATATAGACCTATATCTTTGTATAGGTCTCTGTATTATATAATATATGACCACAGTATACAGTATAGGTCTATTTGTACATATGATATTGTATATAGTATATACATATTATATACATTGTACTTATATATTTGTATAGGTTTCTGATGTAGGCCTATTATATAATATATATAATTACTCTACACCATACGGTACCGGTATATAATGTAGAAACAATTAAAAGATGATCCTTCAATCATTGAAGGTTGACTTGGGGAACACAAATTCATTAAGGTATAATAAATAGAACGGATATATATATATGTATATATATGTATATATATATATATATATATATACTATATATATGTGTATGTATGTAAATGTATATATATATATATATATATCTTTTAACAGAAAAAAGTGTAGGCCTCTTAATAACAATTTTGATATAATGTACAAATTTGAAAGTCATATTTTTATTACAATAATTGAAATTGATTTATTGCCAAAATTCTAAAATTATTTGATTGATTGGATGTGACTTATAGGTTTCTGATGTAGGCCTATTATATAATATATATAATTCCTCTACACCATACGGTACCGGTATATAACGTAGAAACAATTAAAAGATGATCCTTCAATCATTGAAGGTTGACTTGGGGAACACAAATTCATTAAGGTATAATAAATAGAACGGATATATATATATGTATATATATGTATATATATATATACTATATATATGTGTATGTATGTAAATGTATATATATATATATATATCTTTTAACAGAAAAAAGTGTAGGCCTCTTAATAACAATTTTGATATAATGTACAAATTTGAAAGTCATATTTTTATTACAATAATTGAAATTGATTTATTGCCAAAATTCTAAAATTATTTGATTGATTGGATGTGACTTTGATAGACAAACAAGAAACGCAGTGTCGCGGTTTTCGTACCCTGTGATTATTAAGACCTATAAAATACTAGAAAATCGGAAATTACAAAGACTTAATTCCTGAACACATCGAAAATATATATTGATTTAAATATGTGATGGTATATACATGCTAAGCCCACCGTATGAGTTACTAAACCTTGAGGGGCTTACATTAAGACACACGGCAAACTGATGCTTCTAGCTTAATTTATCATGAAGTTAGCTGAGATTTTTTTTTCGTAAATTCCAATAGAAAGCTTCAATTCATTCCAAAGTAAAATTAATTCATTAAACTTTTCATTTGTAAATACTGATGTGCAATTGAAACTAGACCTGTATACACGAATGTCGATATTCTTGAGGTTAACATTTAATTCAATTTAGGCTCAAGTTTTGTAAATGTTTGTGGCGTAACTGTACCGTACGGTACCATCACTCTTGTAATGCGGTACGGTAAACCGATAATCGCCGTTATATAACCATTATTCATAAATATCTACACATATCTTTTATATGTCATCAGAATTTTGTATACTACTTAAGCATCAATAATGAACATTGTTATCTATAATGTGCCACCTTTGATTGGATGAATGTTTAAAGACACGAATGACGATCATGATAATGACGTATTCGTTATCGTTTTCGTAAGGCAAAATCGCCCTATTATAAGAATATACCAATGCTATTAACTCAAAGGCATTCGAGTACTGTACTAGTAATAATATCGAGACTTCATTTAACTCGCATTCACAACTGCGTAGTTCAAAATTTGTGACCGTGGAGTGTGTAATACTGTAGGCTTAAAAATACTGCACAAAATGCTAGGCCTAACTAACTCTGTGATTATCACGTTGGCTTGTATTTTAATCTATGTATACTATTTTGTAAAAGCAAACTGTGAACTACGTAGTCCTATTTGAATAATTATAATCACAACGTACTTATTAATATAGGTCTACATAAAAAATAACTAAAATATGAATTAGGCCTAATCTAACAATATCATTTCAAATATATTTGTAAATTATGATAATATGAAATTAAATAATAATTAAATCGGCTTTTACGAAATAACTTACTTATATTATAGGACTCTTTGATAGCCTGTTGAAATTTCCCTTTTTAAAATGTTTGTTGGAATGAGTCCTGTAGGCATCTTTCACTCTTTTTTTGCAAGTCGTTTGTATTTAAAGTACAGTATGAATTGACCTAATATTTTATTTTTATGTCATCGTATATTGTTTAGTTCAGTATTGTACACTGAGAGCTCCCTCCAATTATGAACTACTTTTGTGACTGGTTTTCCATGGTCTTTAGCAACACTGGTCTCTAATTTGAATAATAAGATAAAATACATTTGTTGATTTGGTACGGTAGTCTTTGATTTGAGAGGTCTTTCATTAGAGGGAGACCAATATATAATAAAATTATGAACACAATTAATTAATAACCAAGATAACGTGATTCCTTCAGCACAGGAGTATATAATTGTTTTATGTAATGACCAGGGTAATATATACGTAAGAGCCATTGACATGACGTGTTGGGCCTATTTATTATTTCATTTTGGTATATTTTTGTATAAAATGTTGAATACGTCATAACGTTGAATATTGTACGAATTCACACCTTGATGCAATTTTAAAAATAAAAAATATTACAGAAAATATAATTGTAACGCTAATTGGGCGTCTGTAACTCTTTCAATATTTGATTTGTTTCATACAGTATATACGTTTATGTTCATATATCGAATAAAAGCAATGTAAAATTCCTTTCGTAGTTTTACGGGATGGATTACTCGAACTAAAGTTTTAAAAAACATTTAAAACCGACGGGTGTTGTCGAGTGGTCCCACTGGGCGCTGAACGTACGTTTCAGCCTAATATAATATGTAACTATCTTTCATATAGTCCTAAACATGAATTTATTAATCAAGAAAAATACTACTTTTTTTCAAATAAGGCATTATGTTTATACTGTGAATAAAATAATTTACAATACTCTATTTGGATATTGTGTACTGTGTAGATTATATCGAGTTTTGAAAGTTGTTCTTGTCGTCGAGTCCGTCCAGTTTTATGTAACAAATGCCTGAGATTTCCACATACAACCTACGTAGGCATAGGTTTGACATGACACCATGTCCGTGAGTAAATCACAGATATTGTATCTGTAAGGGGAACTTGATACAGTGCGGACAGATAATCATGATTGCAACAAAATTATATTCGCACTTGTCAATTGAGTACGAACTCCATATGAACTTGCCAGAACTGTTTGGAATGAGACGACTTTCTAATATTTGGTTATCGAAGCGGCCTACTAGTTCGGATTCTAAGTTACCAAAATAATCATATTCGTATGATTCTCTAAAATTGGTGACGTATTCGTGGATGTTAAATTTTGTGTGGAAGTATCTTTGCGTCACCAATATCACGCCGAACGATTAGGAGTCAATATGATTACGTTGTATGGCATCAAATAAACACACCACCAACATTGTTAATATGATTTAAATTATTTAATTATGTTCATAATTATTATCAACAGCAAATTATTAATATGAATAGGAATGCCTGAAATATCACAAACATATATCCCACGGCTACCTGAAAATGTATTATTTTCACCATAATTTGAAAGAGAGATTATTTAAAAACAAATATTACTTTATATGGCGATATTGGCTATTGATATATCCGCAAATTGCCGTAGGCCTACTCAGTTTACAAGTCAGTTCAGTATAGGTCTATACTTGATTTATGAGGGGGACTTATGGGACTCTGTTGTCGCCTTGAAGTGCATTCTTGTGCCACATAACACTTGCGAAGATACTTAACCAATTAGCGATCTCATTAACCAATCTTTCTCAAGACCAACAATATATGATGTGTTACGTAATCCGAAACCCATCATTCGATGAAATGAGAAGATAAATGGGGGGTCAGCTAATGAGGCTACTTACCTCAGACTTGTGAGTATGCCTTCCCATCTCACCTGTGAGTGATATATTAATATTAGGAATTCACATAGTACGATATTAATCTCAATAAAGACCTAACAAACATCAATATTCTACCCTCCCTCTGCGAGCACTAGTCCGCTTTTAAGGTCTCGGGAACTAATGATGAATTTAATACTTTATGATAGCAAAATACATACTCCATACTTTTAGAGTACCGGATGTAATATCTTCAGGTCCAACAGTTTGTCCCCCTTTATAAGGGTTCTACTATATTATGATATTTAGGCCTACATTCATAACTACGATCATAGACCTATTAATAATGTCCATGGTATGATCACACCACGAAGGTCTAAACACAATGGCGGGTAAGTTAGCCTCGCTTTTAAGGCCTAGGCCTGTTTATTATAATTTTTGAAGATATAGGAGGAAATAACATTGTTGCTGAATTTCGAGGGGAAACAGCCCATGAACAGATAAAGCTTACGGTAAGTCAAGGATATGGTGCTTGGTCTGAAAGGCCTACACCGAGTGGCCCAGTACGCAATTCAACATAGGCCTGCAGCCTGACTTATTTTACCATTTTTATCTTAAATCGAGGCTTCGGATAATTTTGTTTTCTGATATGTTGTACAACTGATGTTTTTCTAATACACAAAAAGCATATTTGGCGAAAAACTTGGGAGCGATTACGGTAGAGTAATGAGATACAGATTGTTTAATATTTAAAAAAACTGGGGAAATTCCAGTTTTTACGTTTTCAAAAATCTGTATCTCATTAACCGCTCCCAGGTTTTTCGTCAATATGCCCTGGACCCAACAAGGCAGTGCCACCAAGATGGGGCAGGGGACAAGATACCCGGGGCTCAAGCTTACCAGGGGCCCATAGAAATTGCTGGTAGCATTTTTTTTCCAATATTTTTTTCAAAAATAATAATCACTATCATAGGCCCTCAATAATGGCATAGGTCCCCTAATAATTGGCCCCTCCAGATTGACCCCCCCCCCCAACAAA